TATTGATTATTGAGATAATCGTCAACTAATTTAATAAGGGAGACTTTAAACATGCTTTAAGCTGACAGAGCAGTAATTATTCCAAAATTGTAAAAAAAAAAAATCGACAATCTTTATTGTCTGCAAAATGCTCTATCCATAACTCCGCAAGTGGAAAAGTTTTAGTTTCGTCTGGTTTAATTTTGTAAAAAGTCTTCTTTAAGGAACCTTTGGCTATCAGATTATTAATCGATTTGCAAAATAATAGTTAGTTTCAACTCTAGTTCAGACCATGTCTTTCTTTTTGAGGGAGACAGAGTTTGCTTCCATATGGACCCTGATCCAGCTCTGTTCTTTAATGTGAACAGACAAACAAAGATAAAGTCCCATGAAGGTCCAGAAGGACTTTCCTGCTGTAAATGTACCTGGTATTGTAATTCTCATGATTAAACCAGTGTTTTTATTTATCCCTGTTGATTTCAGAGGTTTAAACTGATGAGCCTCTGTTCTCGGCTCATCCTCCCTGTTATCCGCTGAAAGTTCTGCTCTCTCCAACTTTCTTAATGCTTGATTGATCTGAAAGTCAAACGTCTGTCCCTGTGTGTGTCATTTATTCATTGTCATTACGTCCAACCTAAATGAGATCTGACTGCAGGGAAGAATTAACTGCTGTTGCAGGTTTATCTGTCCTTGCTGCGGATGTACCTCTCCCCCCCTGACTCTCACTACCTGGGGCCCATTACGATGGAGCTCACTGAGCCTAAGGCAAACCTGCAGGCAGCCCTGCAGGTCCTGGAGCTGCACCACAGCAAGCTGAACACCTCCAAGGTGACCACTTCTTTGACATTTTGCACTTTTAAACTTAAACTTTGTTTCTGAATCATTGCTATGAATAAAAGACAAGGGTTGAGGAACAAATTTCTGCTCTGATGAGACAAAATTAATGTATCAGAGCTGATTTATCCAAAATCATTTTTTAAACAAGTTTTTCTGCGGTGTCTTTCTAGGCTATTAATCTGCTCCCAGCAAACACTCAGATCCGAGAGATAAGGGTGTTTCTTGAGAGCGTCCTGGAGGAGAAGGCCCAGATGAAGCGCTGTAATCAGGTGTTGAAGAGTCTCCTGCAGGCCGAGTTCCTCCGGGTGAGTTCTGGGGTCGGTTATTTCCACACGAAGGGACAGCATGATGCCTCAGTGGCTCCCATGCAGAGGGAAATCCCAAAGGGAGCATTTGATGCATTCCCTTCAAAACCAAATGATACAGACCATTTAGGGGATTCATGATGATACTAAAACATTATTAGGACAGTAGGGCTGTGGTTTGGAAGTTAACTAGTCCTCAACCTCAGTAACTAGTGGATGACTGCATTTGAAAGATTTAAATTGTTCTTTTTTTAGGCATGCAGATGACTGTGGTTAGAAAAAATTTTTTTTAAAAGCTAATTATTTGTGTTTTATTTCAGGTGCAAGAGGAACGAATCTTCCATCAGCAGGTTAAATGTGTAATAACAGAAGAAAAAACCTGCAGAGTCTGCAAGAAGAAGATAGGAAACAGGTACAGCAATCTCTCATACAAGACATGGCTTATAATTCATTACGAGTAGGAAAATGGATACCTTTTTTTATCGATATAAAATCATAATCTGGTTTTTTTTTTTTCCTAAATCTTAATTGTTTATATCTGCTGTACAGTACCTTGCAAAAGGCTTAATGGCTCTTGACTTTATCATATTTTTCTTGCAGGAAAAAAACTTCCGTCTGTTTTAATCATAGACCAACAAGAAGTGATGTGTTGTGCAATTATTCTTATGATATAAGAATAATTTATATTTATTAATTATTATTATACCTGGAAGTCATGATAAAAAAAAAAAATCATCCATTACTTATAGATATGTTATTTGCACAAGAGAATTGTAATTAGCATTTGATGATTAGAACGATTTGGATCGTCGGTTAACAATCATTTATTCAGCCAGTAAATGTGGCCGTTGTGCAATTATTCTTATGATAAATGATAAAACCTGTAATAAATGTTCATTTTAATTTATAACTGCAGTTGGTTTTATTAATCATTAAGTAAACCACCATAAATTCTCAAACTGTCTCAAAAGGGTTGTTTCAAGCACTAGCGTTTAGAAACAGATTGTTTATATAAACCAATAAGGTACCACTTTATGCTAAAATATATTAAAAGTAATACTTTCCCTATTACAAATAAATATTCAGTTTAATCCTTAGCTAAAACACACAAACTACAAAGAGAATAAAACCAAAGTGGTGTCAGTGCAAATGAGGAATCTTGATAACAGAGGCCTCTAGACAATGGGCTCTCTGCAGAAATCCACTACTTCCTGAAATTAAGGCAGCGTTTGTTTCCTGTTTGCTTCTATTCAATGAACTGATTAATCCAGGTGTGCCTGACCTCAGTAACCATGGGCAGACACACCTGGATTAATCAGGTCATCCAGTAATGAAAGAAAGGAAACAGAAGAGCTGCATTGAGTTCAGGAAGTAGTGGAGTTGTGCATAGAGCCCATTAAGCAATTAATCAAGTTTTAGTTTAACTTCAGCACTGACCAATCATCAATCAGAGCAGCATCAGGTATGAAATAAAAACAGCTTTGGATGAAACCTGGAAGAAAGATGGGAGTACGGCAGCTTCTAGCTTTAGTATGCTAACACCTGTCAACACAATGAGCCATAAATCACACAGGGTCAGAGCGGTGAGGTTGCAGCCAAAGAGGAGCTAGCAGATGTTCTTGGTGGGCAGCTAGAAGCACCTGGCCATAGAAGGAATGGGAAAGGGAAAGAAAATGTGTGCTGGGATATGTTAGTTAAAGTCTGTTTATATATAGCTAGGATGCATTGTTTGCAAACATAAGCTTGTTGTCTAGAACTGGGTAGATTAACCATTTAAAGAGTAACAGGACACAGCCGTGAAGGGTTAGAGTTTGAAACCAATGGTCCAGACCCTTCATTTACCACCACCTTGGACAAATTTAGTGGTTGCATCATGCTGTGGGCTTGCTTTTTTTTCCAATAATAAAAGGGGCGCTGGTCTAAGCTGACAGTGAGACAGATGATGCTAAATACAGACCAGATACCAGCAGAAAACCTGCTGCATAAGAGCATGTTCAGTGTTAGAATGGCCAAGTCAAAGCTCAGACATAAATCTATTAGGAATCCATGACCGTCTCTCTCCATGTTATCTGACTTAGCTTGATTTATTCTCTAAAGAAAAATGAAAAACTTATCGAGTCCCTACAAAAAAGCTGATGACACCCCAAAAGGAATCCAAATTTTTATTTAAAAATGAAAAAATTATTAACTTTTTCCTTCCACCTTAGACAAAATGCGAATATAATAAATTATGTTTTTGGTTCTGTTACAACATGTGAAAAAACTTTGATGCTTTATGTCAATCTAATGCTTCTTACTGGAACAGATGATGATGATGATGATGATGCTACTAAATCTTCTTTCTTGTGGTTCTCTTTCAGTGCATTTGCCAGGTATCCTAATGGCGTGGTTGTGCATTATTTCTGCTGCAAAGATCGCAGCGTCTGCCCCACTGAGCAGTAAGAGCCGCTTCACACTGGGCCTGATAAACCCCCACCTTCTCCTCCACCCTTTGGACTCGGACATGTTGGAAGGACTAATATAAATAAAGTATTGATTTATTTTTGGCCTGAGACATCTCAGAGCAGAGCGGGGCCACAGTTTGAGCCTTTCTCTCGGTACACATGAAGAAACATTCGGAAAGACTCTCAAGAGGAAGAGAGAGGTCGATGCAGACAATCCAAAACGTGCTTCTGAAACACTGTAAAGGATTTGTTGCCTTACAGGCATGATTATTGACAGCTGGGATGACGGAGGTTTGTGCTGAGTATCTCTGATTATCACAGACTGGGCTTTTTTGGTTAGTTCCCTAGAGACCATTGATATGCCATACTGAGAGCTACAGTACTGTTAAACGCCTTCTGTGACTCTGAAGATTGTACCTGTGTGAAACAAGATGTCACTCATCACTTTCTGTTAGAGTATAACCAACTTTGTTGTTTCCCTAGAACATATCAGTTTTTGTCATTTAATATAATTTACAATTCAGTTTTTTTTCCCACCTAATCTATACCCAAATTAACCACTTGTTTTTTATTTTATTCAATTTAATCAGTTCAATTGTGGGTTGAGGAATAGAGTTTATCACCATCACTGGTCTGCCTTTGTTAGTTGGGATCTGTTACAGTAAATATATTTACCATAGGTTTGGACTGTTTACACAAAACCTAAAAGAAATAACATCACCAAGGCTTATTAATCAGTTTTAAAACTGTAGCAGTATTCACTTCAACACCTTTTTATCATTTTTTATTTCCAACTTTAACTGGAAGCTTGAATTTTTGTGTTTTCTCTCACTAAGAGAGAAAATGTTAGTCCTGCACTTTAAATTGATTCTATGATTTTTTTTTTTTTTTATACTGTAATTATACTAAACCTGAGAGGAAGGGTAGATATTTGAAGGCAATATTGTTCTGAAATGTGTCTGTTTGCTGTTTCTCTAGTGAGAAGTTCAAGGAGCAGAGATGTTTTCTTTACTAAAAATTAAAAAAGCATGCAGCGTTTGCTGGGTCATTTCTCCTTATTTGATTTAACCTTTAAGCTCACAAATTCATAAACAAACAGGTTTTAGATGCTAAACATGCATGGTAACATTACTATTGAGAATGAAACTAAAGCTTTTTAAGTAAGTAAGTTTAAGATTTGTATTTTTTTGTTTTCATCTACAAAAATGTGAAATCAAATGTTCCATCTGATAGAATACAAGCTTAGAAGTTACAAATACAAGGTTACAGCTAAGAAACAATAAAAGTATAAATCACTAATTTAAACAATCATAAATTTCCAAGTATAAATTGCAAATATATGAGCATTAAATTACAGATTTAAAGCACTGAATAAGAATTGTACAAGTTGAATTTCGGTTGACTACAGTAAACAAAACAAATGATTGATTTAATATTGACTTAAATGTACAAATGTTGTTACTCATGTATCCTTTTTGAGTTATATTAGCACATAATGGTGTTTGAGGACTGGCCAGCCTCTTAAACATTTACATAAAATTTTTACTGGGACAAATATCCCCATTCTAGACTTTTAATGATTTATTTAAACATTTCTTCTTTCATTCAGGAAGGAATTGAATGAGCTAGCGGTGTCCCAATCCAACTTTTTAATTGCTGATATGACATCAAAATAGCAGCTTTGAGTTCTGTATGATACCAATATTGACCCAATAAGATATCAGGACAAAAGATACTCAAGTTGTTCGAAAGTCAAAAAAAGGCTGATTAGGTACAACAAGTATGAGAAAAACGCATCCCTTTATGTTTAACTAATGCGTTGCATAAATTTTATATTAAAAAGGAAATTCATCTGTTGAATAAATTATAATTTAGAAGACTGGAAAATTGTGCGAGACAGGTTTTGAACTCAGCAGTAGCTTGTTTTTCAACCTCCAGAAGGTAAAAGCCACATCGCAGCGTAACATCTGCTGTGGTGACGGCGCTCTGTGTGCAGGATACAAGCACGGCTACATAGAAATACTAAAGCTGATTACATGATGGAGCCAAGTCCATCTATCTGTGCTCATATCAGACATTTTAGATGCAAGTTGATATAAGTTGATCAGCAGATCCCTTCTTGAAACAACATTTTGTTGAATTTCTAAAAAGAACGAGGTGCATGAGTTAAAGCTGATTGAGCAAGTATACATGTTTCACTTCACTATAATGACCTTTGGAGATGTTAATGATTTTTATTGGTGATCATGTTTGCTGTGTTTGCAGTTTGCTCTGGAATTTATGTGAATTTTCTTAAATTAATGGTTATTTAACGTCTTCATATTAGAATAAAAAAGAAACTGTATGTGTGACTTTACACACACCTTAAAGACATTTAAAGCAGATGAAAATAATGCAAAAATACATTTAATAAACATGAAATATGCAAACTGATAGAAGTAAAAGTAAAAGATTGCTGACTGGTTATTGAAATCTCGTTGCCATTGAGGTGTCCAATTACTGTTTGAACCTTTTTTGGGGGGGGGTTTCACTCCTAGCAAATCCCCTCCCATCAGGGCCTTTTAGATATTTACTTTAAAAACTGATATTACATCATAATTTGTCACTATTTTTAAGCTTTTCTTATAAATCAACTTCAATCCCTCTAAAAACTAACAAACTTTCAGTTTCAGGATCTAATTCCTCTAAACACCTATTTAATTATAGCATTTTTTTCATTAAAAAAACAACTAAACAGCCCATTTATGTGGTAAATAAAGTTCTCTTTTCTTTCCCCCTCATTGATTACTAAAAATGTCAACATGACAATTTTTTAAACACTATTAACACAAAATCCTTCCCCAAATGTGCCAGGGCTTTCACATTGAGATCTTTTTATTGTGTGTATTTCGAATACACAGCTGGAGTTTCCAAGGCAGCATTACTCTGTCAAAACCTATTTTTTGAAATAAAGGCGTATACAGGAAATTAGAGGGGAATCCTTCATGTTAAATGTCTGAGGGAAAGCAACGTTTCTGCAACAAGCTGGATGAAATCAACTCTGAGATGTAAAAGGTGAAATCTAAAAATTCTGTCATTTGCTTGGTTGTGTAAAAGAGCACTGCGCTGATGTTATGCCAAACATTCTAAGAGTATGGCTGCTGCTGAAGGAGCCCTGAGTTGCAGTCTGTGTGAATATAACCAGGGATCTTCAACTAAAGGTCACCACTCCCCCATTTTGTCACATTAAGATGGGTCTAAACTCACTGTACTTTACTTAAACCCTGCTTTCTTCTGTTACAAGAAAACTCTCCCTCTCTCCTTTTTCATTTAATTCCATGAAATCAGCATCCTCAGTGATGATAGACCCACAATTCACTTTCTTCACTTGGGTGAGACAGCTTAAGCAAAAAATAGAAAAATATCACAACAGCCAAACTGCTCAGCAATGCAACACAACTGAAACACTCCCACTGCTTTCTCCATCGGAGTCTCTGGAGGGTCCTAATGACTCTTATCAGGGAGGGAGGGAGACTGATCAAGCCTCTCAACAGCCAAAATAAGCACTATATACTTTGCTCTTAGCCAAGATAGAACAGCTGCATTGTGAGAGGGACTGCAGAGATGTTCAAAAAGGAATGTCCAATTGGGCGGGGAAACACTGAATAATTCTCCTTCCTCCAGGTTTCATGTTTGGTTTTTTTCCTAAATGTCCTGAGATGCTGCAATGTCTTGGAATGTCCTGATGGAGAGATTTATGTCCTGATGTCAAAATGGAAAAGATCTTCTTACTAGAAGCTGCCCAGCCAACAGAAATGTGCCCACATAAAGCCTGGCAAACCTTGCTTGAAGGTGCGCACCAGCTTCTAGGAAGAGAAGAAAGACAGTGGTTAAAATGGAATATTTATTTTTGCAAAAAGTGGGAAACATATTTGCTGATGTTGCAGTAAGAAGGGATTTAAGAACCTAGAACAAACCTGATCCAGGCTGGATGGAGGCCAGATGAGCAACTGGCATTAATCCCCACAGATTGATTATATTGTATTAGATCTAGTAGACAGCAAGCAAGCAAAATACCTTAGCGGAAAATAGTAGACGCAAGTGTGCTCAAAGTATACTAATTTTAATGTTGCCTATATATTTCTTTTACTATATGTATACCAAAGTGTGTGTGTACCTGTCTAGCCCTCAGAGTGAGGACCATTTCTTCCAATTTCACCATCAGATTGAGGACCACATGCTATTAACCTCACATGTTGAGGTTAAGGGCTAAGGTGTCATGGGGTTAGGGTTAGAATGAGGTATGCATTGGTAATGGTTAGGTTGAGGGTTAGTTTTAGGGTTAGGGCATACAAAGGGTTCAAAATGACTGTAAATCAGGCATCCCCAAAGTCGGTCCTCAAGGGCCGCTGTCCTGCAGGTTTTAGAGGTTTCCCTGCTTTAGCACAGCTGATTATAATGATTGCAGTAGAGCAAAAGCCTGTTAATCAGCTTTCAATTAAAATCAGCTGTGCTGGAGCAAGGAAACCTCTAAAACCTGCAGGACAGCGGCCCTCAAGGACCGACTTTGGGGATGCCTGCTGTAAATCAATGGAGGTCAATGGGAGTAAATGCATGGTCCTCACTATGGCAGAACGAGTATGTGTGTGTGTATAATTATAAGTGGCGGCCTAGTGGTTAGGGCATAGAGCCTGGAATCCTAAGGTTCTGAGTTTGAGCCCCACTCCCACAGACTGCCACTCTTGGTCTCTGAGCAAGACCCTCAACCACTGCTCCCCAAGGGGATAGGTTAAATGCAGAGGTAAATCTCTCCAATGTGAGGTTAATAAAGTTCAATTATTATTAAAACTATACATACTCAAGTATAACAAAGTTATATTTATCATTTGTTTAGTATAAACTCTGTAAAGGTAACATAATGTTGGTTTGGTACATCAATGACAACAAAACAGGCTTTAATTGTAGGAAAGCAGACCTTTTCTGTCAAGTCTCTGTCAGTTCTGGGGATCCCACCAAAGCAAGCTGTAGTAGGAGAATCATTCTTCTGATCATCCAAGTCAGATGTAAATCAAAGACCCACCTGTCATCCTCTGGGTTGTTGAAGTCTTTTGTTGTGCACAGGTTTTGTTTTTGGCCATTTTAATCATGATGAGCATGATGATGTCATTCCTTTAAACAAAGATCGCTTCCTTCTCTCCTCTTTCAAACCATCCGTCCTCTTTGTCCAAAACCTGAACACGTTGGTCTTCAAAGGTGTGTCCTTTGTTCTCGAGGTGCAAGTTTAGAGCAGAATCTCGCCCAGAGTTACTGGCTCTCCTCTGCTGCTCCATGTGTTTGCATAGTTGTTTGTTTTCTACAATGTAGGAGTCCAAGCAACCCTCACTGCACTGGATTATGCATAACAACAAAAGAACGCTGCTCATCTTTTGTTTTGATGTTCTGTCTTTGGGATGAACCAGTTATTATGTTATTGGTTTAAAAGTAAGTGGTAGGTTATGCTTACAGAACTTCTCAGAAACTCCTGACTAAAACCAAAGATTGCCTCTGATTTAAGCCTGTTTTTTTTGTTGTTTTTTTCACAGGCCAATATAACTGAAAACACTTGCATATTTTAGTTTAAGATTAGCATAGTTTAATTACGGTTGCATGTATTACCTTTTTGATCTAGATCTGTTGTTCTCTATAGGCAGGCTGCTATGTCGATATGTGAGTTTTAATTCTACAGCAGAAAGAGTAAAGTAGCATAGTATGGTATGGTATAAATGTGACTCAGAGAAGCAAATTGTTTTCTTCAAAAAACAAATAGTAGATCAGAATGTCTGTTGAAGGGTAGCCTCATGCATGGACACAAACTGTTAAAAACTTACTTTCTAAAAATAAATGTATTCCTTTATTCTGTATTTATTACTCTTTTAAACATGTTTCCTCCATTACATCCAAGCAATATTTGAGTAAAAAACAAAACAAAAAAAATAAATTCTCAGAACTTGATTTTTTAAAACAATATATTTATTCCTATAACCAAGAAAACTCCAGAGGCAAAAAGGAAAAAAGGGAGGAAGTATGTGGTTAAAAACCTATCAAAACCATTAAAATGTTTACAAGCAGCAAAGAGGAAAAGCTTTTAAAATGTAAATGGATTGAATAAAGTAACATAATGAACGGTTCTTGGCAGGTGCATAATTACAGGAAGGTTAAAAGCTTTGAGTTTTTTCCATGTCTGTTGGAAACATCTGCATGGGTTCTAAACATAGCTTTCTGTATCAGAGCTAAAGACACCACCGTCATTATTAGGATGATAAAGAGAACCAAGAACATCAGAAGGTCATTACCTAATCCTCCGTGTTCGATGTTTCTTATTTGCCATATATACATGTAAAAAATTAATAAAAAATAAAATATCTTATCTCTCATCGTTCAGCTTGCTGTTGTAATGTGACGTTTTATGGTTCCAGGTTGGCCCTGTTGACTCGTTTCCAACAGGATATGATGACCTTTTTGTGACGAGGAGGAGCACACCTGATCCAGAGAAGCAGCTTTAAACACACATTATTATGTACTTTCCGGCTGGTTCATCTGTGTATCCTGGAGCTCCACCCGTCTGCTTGGACTCACTTAAAGGAAATAGCAGATGATGGCTTGCAAAAGGGGAAAATTCGCTGTCTGACAGAATGACGGAAAACTGAGTATAAAAAGAAAAGGCAGCAGGAATAATCTGGAGTAATCTTTTATATTTCTAAATTTTATTTGTCTTTAGCTTTTATTACTAAAGGCTACAGCACTGGAAAAGTATTCTTTCCCCATGGTATTTTCTTACATTTAAACCAGAGCTAAACCAATGTAAGATTTTATGTGCCGGAAGGAAAGTGATCAATGTTTACTTAAAATTAGCTGTTTTTTTAGAGTGCCCTTTCACTGTACCATTTGAACACTATTAGTTTAGTTTCTAGTCTAGCAGTTGTTCCATTTTCTTAATAATTTTTCTTTTATAAAAACACTTTTTATATCAGTTTACTTTTTGTGTCACTTGTATTCTCTTTAATTATTTATGTTGCCTCTATGCTGTCCATCTGTTTTTGTCTTGCCACAGAAATGTGTTATATAAATAAACTTGCCTTACAAGCTTTGCACATCTACAATCTGTGCTTTTGTTTATTCTTTTTGCAAAAATGCTGAAGCTTATTGAGATACCAGGTCGTTCCATAGATCTCAGATTTTGAGTCTGAGATATTTTGCAAATAGTGTTCAACACTTTCTTTCCAGGATCCACAGTTTTTGATCACAAATGTTAATATTTAGGTCATCAACAGGATTAATGTCAAAATCTTTTCAATTTTTTTAATTGTGAAAAAATATCACATTCATGTTTTTTTTTAATTCATATCAATTTGTTTACTGGTTTCTTTTTTCCTTCTTTTACTTTATTGTTAACCAAATGGAAAGCCTTTATTTCATTAATGAACCGTTAATCATTCCATATAGATGATTGATTTCTTGTGTCTAGTGATCCAAACTTGATGGTTCAGGTTTCACCTAGTTAATTATGGAAATCTTCTTTGCTGTCATTAGGGGAGTCCTTTGGTGATAAAAAAGGGATTAGAGAACACATTAAGTATAAATAATAAAGTGTTGAAACAATGTTTACTTTCAGCATTCTTTCTAGAAAATCGTTCCAGTATTTTTGGATCTAAGGACAGTCCCAA